GTAGCTGAGATTACAGGCACCCACCACCACACCCATCTGATTTTTTTATTTCTGGTAGAGACAGGGTTTCACCATGTTGGTCAGGCTGGTCTCAAACTTCTGACCTCAGGTGATCTGCCCACCTCGGCCTCCCAAAGTGCTGGAATTACAGGCAGGAGCCACCACGCCTGGCCAACTCCTATGTTTTATGTTAAGCAGATAACTAATAATTACTAATTCGCTAGATATGTACCAAACACTTTCCTTCCCATTTATTCAGCATTCCTTTATTTTACTTTATTTATTTACTTATTTATTTATTTTTTTGAGACAGAGTTTTATTTATTTTTTTGAGACAGGCTGGAGTGCAGTAGTGCGATCTCGGCTCACTGGAACCTCTACCTCCTGAGTTCAAGCGACTCCCCTGCCTCAGCCTCCTGAGTAGCTGGGATTACAGGCACACGCCACCATACTCGGTTCACTTTTTGTATTTTTAGTAGAGACGAGATTTCACTATGCTGGCCAGGCTGGTTTCAAACTCCTGACCTCAAGTGATCCACTTGCCTCGGCCTCCCAAAGTGCTGGGATTACAGGTGTGAGCCGGCCTCAGCATTCCTTTGATGCTAGGCACTGTGGTAGGTGCTGGGGATGTAAAAATGAATAAGAAAACATTGTCCCCATTGCATTGTGAAACATTGGGGTATAATTATCCCCACTTCACATCTGAGGAACCTGAAGCTACTTAGGTTTAGCATCTCGGCTAAGATCAGATAATTAGAGCTTGGGGAAGATGGAATTCAAATTCAAGGCTTACTTCAAAGCTCAACCTTTGTGCCGTCCCACAGACTACACTCTATACTATCAACAGCTACCATGAGGCTAGGCAAGGTGGCTCATGCCTGTAATCCCAGCACTTTGGGAGGCCGAGGGAGGCAGGTCACTTGAGCTCAAGAGTTTGAGACCAGCCTAGCCAACACAGCGAAACCCTGTCTCTACACATTTAAAAAATTAGTCAGGTATGGTGGCTTGCGCCTGTAACCCCAGCTACTCGAGAGGCTGAGGTGGGGGGATCGCTTGAGCCCAGGAGGTAGAGGCTGTAGTGAGCTGTGATGGCGCCACTACATTCCAGCCTGGGCAACAGAGCAAGACCCTGTCTCAAAATAAAAGAAGAAAAAAAAAAACCAACGTTATTTAAGGGAACCCTTTTTATAAAGTAATAGGCACCTGTAATTTCTGTTTTTTACTTTATATTTCCAAATGTTGGGTTTTCAAAAGAGTGGCACAATGAAGGAAATCAAAAACAAAACAACAAACCTTGTAGAACCTTCTCCATCTAGGAGTTGATAATTGAATTAGAGGCACTTTTTCAAGCAATGTTATCAAAGCATGCAAAGTAACAAAGAATAGTTTAATACAAACAAAAATAGTAAATCCTAGAGTGAGCTTTTAATATCTGCAGCTTACTAAAAAGTTCACATACTTTCCAAAGCTCACTGGCTGCCAAAAGTTAGAATTTTATACCTAAGCAGTTTGTTTCCTAGACAGGAATCTAATTACAAACAGAAGATCCTTCCAGTCCTATATAAAATTCTCTAAGAGACAGAAACAATAAGATTTAAGGAGCCAAAGAATCAACAATTTCATTGACTCTCCATTTAAACAGACAAAACAAAACAGAAGGAAAAGAAAGAGCAAAACAAAAAATATTCTGGCTGAGGAAACTTTGGAAAAATAATAAAACTTCAAAAATATTTTTTATCCCATTTCAAACATTATTCTTTCAGTTAAAAAAGTGGTTTTAAAAATAATTTGGTTCTAACATTTAAACTTTTAGCTAATACAATTCTGTATAATTTTTAATCTATGAAAAAAAAATTATACTGTATGAAAGCAAAAAATGCTACAAATAACTATAACAACTTCAACGTACATAATCTTAGAGAAAAGTTTTATGAGCACAATAGCCCCTTCTAATTTAGGTAATTTTTCTTATCAATATTCTCAATACTTCTATCAAAGTTAATTTCTAAATGTTGAAGAAGAGTGGATAGGATGAGTACCCTGAAACTTATTCCCCTTTTAGAACTTTTAGAAATCTCAATATTAAAGATGAACTATTTAAAACATACGTGTATTTCTACAATGAGGTTTTTTGTAGTTGTTTCTTAAAGACATGCTAGTGAATACCGTGGCGTTGTGAAACAAAACGTTTTGTTGAGCCAGATGGAATAGAAGAATGTACCTTACTGGTAAAGCAGAGGGAAAAAGACCTAAAACGAGTTTTGTGTACTTTCAGGTATAGAATAAGTTTGGGGGAAATAGCTAGGAATGCTTTGGTTAAAACATAAGCTGTCTTCGATTAATTCAGATGTTCTGAATTCAACAAATATTTATTGATTACCTACCATGTTCCAAGCACTCTGCACAACACTCAGTATTAACAGATCAGAAATGGTCCCAGACCTTTTGGAACTTACAGGGTAATGAACACATCCTTCAAAATTATCCTTTCTTTTGTGTGATTCCATGGTCATCAAATACGAATTCACACTACCCAAAGCTTAGTACCCATAAAACAGTATATTACATTACCAAAATCAACCTGCGGGTCAATGTATATACCCCTATTTAAATTAATAAATCATTCAGGCTTTCACATCAGTCTTTTATGAGTTGAGTGAATCCTCAAAACTTAATCAATTCTGATTAATTGGTTAGATGTAATTTCTGAAAATTCAAAATACAGTAGCTGTCAATCAAAATAGTAATGGACTATTTCCATTAAAAGATCACCAAAGTGAGTCCCTACTTAGTTTATCCCCTGACAAAATGCCTTTATTTCATAATACCCTTCAAACTGCAACTAGTTAATCCATAAAACTGTTAACAATAAATGAGATATAGCATATGAGTGCTTCTGGAACTTTGTTGTTTTTTTTTTGAGACGGAGTTTTACTCTGTCGCCAGGCTGGAGCGCAGTGGCGCGATCTTGGCTCACTGCAGCCTCCGCCTCCTCAGTTCAAGCGATTCTCCTGTCTCAGCCTCCCGAGTAGCTGGGACTACAGGGCGTGCCACCACGCCCGGCCTTCTCAAACTTTCATGTACATACAAATCACCCACAGACATGTTAAAATGAAGACTGATTCACTAGGTCGGGGACAGCCAGTGATGTCCAGGCTGCTGTCCACAGACTACAAGGATACACACCTAGCACAGTGGTTGGCACCGAGACCACTCAGCCCAGTTAACTGTTCCCTCCCATTTGTATATATCTCATCTCCCTTACTGATCTCACCTTCCTTGGAAGCAAAGACAATGACTTTCTCATCTTTGTATCTTTCAAAGTTCTAAGTAGAGTGAATGCCTTATCTACATAACGGCATTAGATATATGTATTCTGAATGAATGGCATCCACCTTTTAACAGCGATTATTTCTTCTATGAGTTATCAACAGAATTGTTTCTCTGAATTTATTTTAAATAGAAAAATATTGTTCAAAAGCTGAATCAGGAAAACTCTCAATTTTAAAAACCGGTCAATACTGTATTTGTACCATACTCCAGTGCGTTTTTTCTCATGCTGACCTAACCTTTTTTAAGAAAATAAATATCCATAATTACCTGCTAGTTTATCTCCTAATGGTTTTCCTTTTTTTTTTTTTTTTTTTGGTAAATAAAAATAAGCCATCAATTTTTCAGGGAAAGTTTTAAAACTACCCTTTTCTTTGTATGCAAGGGCATCTTTGTTAAGTAATACCTATAAAATAATCCTGGCTTCTCGGATTAATATTATATAAAAATCACAGTATCCTTGTTATCAATAGGTAGACCGTTGGCACAGTTTCATGTGTGTCTTCGCCGATTTTCTGTGATCACCGGAACAAGTGACTAAATATCTCAGGATTCGTTTCTTCCCTTGTAAACATTAGCTGTTAACCTGACCACACTTGGTTCTGTGCAGAGAAAAATGGTTTGAGGGTGTTTTGAGCACTCCAGAAAGAAAACAAAGGAGGAATATTTTCACTTCCTGCTTGTTTACCTTTACTGTTTTATGGCTTTTTGGATATTTTGGGGTGACTTTGCCACCTACCAAACACAATTATTTTTGAGTACCTAAGGGCATGGTAACCAAGCATCGGGTTTTGATCCTACCATTAGTCACACCATGAATTGAAAACAACATGAAAGGTCTTGCAAATAAACGTCATCACTTTTTGGCGTCTCCGCACAGGCAACACACCGATGCCTCTGATCTGGCGACCTTAAGCCTCGAAGCGCAGTCCCGCCTCTGCAGGCGGCCACCGCGCGGGGCTGGGTGGTCCCCCGGGGACCGCGAGCGGTTCCAAGGTCTCCGCCAGCTTTTGGTTTTCATCTTTATTAAAACTGCTGTTTGGGTGTGTGTCTTTTTTTTTCTTTTTTTAAGACAAGACACCAGGCCAGCTGCGCGACGCAAGCCGGCCGCGGGGCAGGCATTTCGGAGCACCGGAAAGCTCGGAGGCAGCGGCGGTGACCTCCAGACCGTCCTCCTGCGTCCTCATTAAAGGAGGCAAAATGGTGGCCGCGAACGCCATCAGGCTGCGCCAGGGCGGGGTTTCGGCGCCAACACAGAGGATCCCGCCAGATTCTGGCGGCCAGAACTCCTCCTCACCCAGGCCACCCCCCGGGGCCCACAGCCTGGACAGCTACGGGCGTGGCGCCTGCGGCACCGAGACCCCCGGCGAGGGTGTGGAGGCGGGACGACTTCCCCGCGACAGTGAACAACGACGCCATTATCAGCACCCCCTGCCGGCGCCTCCGGCGCAGCCCGCGCAGGAGCCGAGGCCCGGCCTCCGAGGGAGGGGGAAGGAGGACGCGGCGGGAGGAGAGGAAGAGGGGGAGGAGGGCGAGAGGCGGGGAGAGAGAACAGGGCGGGAGGAGGGAGAAGACGGCGGGAGGAGGGGAGAGAGGCGGGAGGAGGGGAGAGAGGCGGGAGGAGGGGAGACAGGCGGGGCGGGGCGGAGCGGCAGGCCGGGCGGGCTGGCTGCGGGGACGGGGGCAGGGCGGCGTCTGCTGCTGCTGCGGGGTGGCCCCCTCCTCAGGCCACCCTCTCCCTGCGGCTGGGGACTCCAGATGGACGAGGGCCCACCCCACCCGGCGCTTCCCCGTGCGACCCGGTGTCGCGGCGGGCGGCGAGGCCAGCGGCTCCCCGTCGCCCCTACCTTACCTTCCCTGTCTTTCTCGTCCGCCATCTTGCTGCGGAGCCGGTCGCCTGGGAGATGCCTAACGATAACCTCGGCCGCGGTGTCCCGGCCTGCTCAGCGCCCCGCGGCGAGCCTGGCCTGGAGGAGGGGCCGCTCCGAATTCTGGGGGAGGAAGACCCTTGGGCGGGGCGGGGAGAAGCCTCCGAGCGCGCGCCGCGTCCCCGCTTCCCGCCACGACCCTCGCGCTGGGGGAAGACCAGAAGCCGCGTCTGCCACCCGGCCCCCAACTTAGTCCCTGCAGACCCGAGGCCGGAGCCCGACTAGTCCCGGGTCTAGCAGTGTTACTTCATCACACGGTCCCCAGCCCCTCCTTTCCCTTATTTCTCATCCATTTGGGGACAGCACGCGCGCGCACACACCCTCGCCCCTCCTGTCCTGTTTGTGCGACGTGGCGTTGCTCGATTTTTGTTGTGAACTGCAGATTTTGAAAAGCGCCGGAGAGCTAGGTGAAGAGCTGGGCTCCCGAGGGGGTGACAGAACCAGCCCGCGGCCCGGCCTCCTCCTCCCGCTTCCCATCGGCCCGGCTGCTGCAGAACGGCCGCGCCTGCCCTCCCGGTTTCTCCCGTCCAGTCCTCACGGTCCTTTCCCAGAGAAAGCGGCAGCACAGCCTATGACAACTAAGCTGAAACGGAAAAACTGGGCCGGGCGCAAGAGGAAACCAGAGCCATTCGACTATTATTACTAGAGGAGAGGAATAGCTGTAGAAAAACATGCGCAAAATAGGCACAAACATTGCGTCGTCAAGGCTGCAATGTCTCATACAAAATAGAAGGTTCTCATAGCAACAAAAACGTGCCCATGTTGTGCTCAGTGTTAACATGCGTTAAAATGTTCTTAGTTGTGAAATTTGACATGACCGCTGGTTAAAGTTGCAATGGAAGTTTTAAATCCTGCTTTCCGGAAACTCTGCAGCCATAGCATGAGGTTAAATTTTTCTTATTTTCAGGACAAGTTTACTCTACTGGAATATAGTAAAGCTCTTTTTATAAAGAGCTTTGAATAAAATACCTAACGATGTGGTTCAAACGAACACATTTTCAAAACTAATCTTAAATGGTATTTCAGTGCATATGTTATGTAAAAGCAATTTATAAACTAAACTAAATTTTAAGAGCCTTCAAAATACAAAGTACTCGTATTTAATGACTTAACAGTTTTAATGCTTTTATTCTGTTTCTATAATCTCTCAGGAAATCCTGACTATATTTTTATTAAAATAACTTTTTCTGTAGAAGATACCCATTTGGTGCTGTGATCAGCATTCTGCCTGAAATTGAATATAAACAACTGAATCATTACAAAATGGCTCATGTTAGAAGATACTTAAAACGAATACAATCTTGTACAGTAAATTTTTAACACCCCAAAATAACGAAAAGTAATTATTAGCATTCATTTATATCTACATCTCAGTCAATATGATCTAAATATTTGTGTTTAAAGACTCCCCCTCTCCATATAGATTACGAAGGGCTTTGAAATAAGTGTAGGAAACCCTAAGCTTGGTCTCAGGCTTGCTATTCATTCACTATGCTTTTTCGTCTGCTGTTTACAGTTTCCTTTTTCTGGAGTGTCTGTCTCTGCTCTCTCCCCCGCCATCATTTCAGCTTCCCACAAACACACATTTGTCCCCTCCTGGTTGTCATGCAGGATGACTGTCTTTGTTTTTGTTTTTGTCTTTTGTTTTTCGAGACAGGGTCTCGCTCTGTCCTCCGGGATGGAGTGCAGTGGTGCGATCTCTGCTCACTGCAGCTTCCGCCTCCCGGTCTCAAGTGACTCTTCCACCTCATCCTCCCAAGTAGCTGGGAGGAGAGGCTCGCGCCACCATGTCTGCTAGTTTTTGTATTTTTTGTAGAGACAGGGTTTCCCCCTGTTGCCCAGGCTGCTCTCAAACTCCTGAGCTCAAGCGATCTGCCGCCTGCCTCGGCCTCCCAAAGTTCTGGGATTGCAGGTGTGAGCCACCGTGCCTGGCCAGGATGACCTTCTCGAAGTCACCTACTAATTGAAGCTTTCTCTCTCAGCCTTTTCCTCTATGGCCCCATACTCATAGAGCCTCCCACATTGATTTGCAATGCCTTCGTTCGTTCACTTGTTTCCACTTGCCAAACAGTAAGGTCTTGAAGACAGAAACAGCATTATTCATTCATATATCCCCAGTATCTAGTACAATTTTTCTGTTTGGTAATATATGTCTTAAAAATTAAGATAGGAATAAGTCTTCTCAATGACTTTTTTCCAAAAAAGACCCAGATTCAGCACGTACTGTGTGTAAGACAGACCTTCCTTTTACATTACGTTTTCTTATCAGTAAAAGTACTGGGCCAGGTGCGGTGGCTCACGCATAATCTCAGCACTTGGGGAGGCCGAAGCGGGTGGATCACTTCAGGTCATGAGTTCAAGACCAGCCTGGCCCACATGGTAAGAGCCCATCTCTATTAAAAATAGAAAAATTAGCCAGGTGTGGTGGCTCACACCTGTAATCCCAGCTACTGGGGAGGCTGAGGCAGAATAATCGCTTGAACCCGGGAGGCAGAGGTTGCAGTGAGCCGAGATTCACCGCTGCACTCCAGCCCAGATGACAGAGCAAGACTCCATCTCAAAAAAAAAAGTACCAGTATTTCATGTCAATAAAATAGAATTCTTATATAAACGTATATAAATTAAAAATTATTATTTTAAGAGTTGAACAGATTTCTCTGCAAACCCCCCTGTATTTTTATATTTTTAAAACTAACTGTATTCAGCAAAGCTGTTTATTATGTAATTATTCCAAAACACATTAATCATTATTTCTCTGAACTCCTACAGCACATTTAAAACAGTACTGTTTCTCTAGGTGTGGGTGAGTAAAAAAATATTTAATATATGTTAATTAACTCCCCCATCGCCTGACCCTGCCAAGGTTTGAATAGGAGCCTACACCCTTATAAACTCTTTTTATATACCCACACTACCTAGCCTAATCAGGACACATATTAGTTGCTTCATACATACTTTTCAACTGCCTAATTTGCTGATTAGACATAAAAGTATATAATTCTAGAAAAGTTTCCACAAGGTGAAAATGATTACCCAAATAAAAAAGGCCCACAATGCCAGTGAGTACATTATCTGCATTATGCTGATATTTGACTCCTTTCAACTCTGTTTGATTGTAGAAACCTGACCGATGATTATATTACACTTTTAACTCTTGAAATATTATTAGCTTGCTTTGGACTGTGGAAAACTAACTACAATCATTTTTATTCCTTAGAATATATTTTGCGGATGGGCACTGTGACTCACGCCTGTATACCTAGCACTTTGGGAGGCCGAGGTGGGCGGATCACGAGGTCAGGAGATCGAGACCATCCTGGCCAATATGGTGTAACCCCGTCTCTACTAAAAATACAAAAATTAGGTGGGCGTGGTGTCGGGCGCCTGTAGTCCCAGCTACTCGGGAGGCTGAGGCAGGAGAATGGCTTGAACCCGGGAGGCAGAGGTTGCAGTGAGCCGAGATCGCGGCATTGCACTCCAGCCTGGGCGACAGAACAGGGACTCAAAAAAAAAAATATATATATATATATATGTATGTATGTATATATATGTGTGTGTGTATATAGCTTCTGAGCTGTAGCTTGAGTAACTTTTAATATTGTATGCCGCCAAAGCATTTTTTCAGTTAAACATCTCATAATGATTTTCAGAAATTTAGAATCAGAAAATCATTTTTGATCCCACTCATGGATATATAAACTTAGGGCTAAATCAGAAAAGCAAGCACATAGTTTTAGACAATCACACTTATTTGATGCATTACTCCATGGAGCCAGATGGATACGTACAGGTTATGTCCTTTTGCATGCTTAAATTGATAGTGAGTTAAATCTGTTCGGACAGCCATCAGTGATGTGCCCATGAGGAACACAGAAAATGTTTCTTTTGAATGCAGTTGACTCAGTTACCTAAGATGTGAGTGAAGTGGGAAGGGTAAGTGGTGTGAATAATGCAAAATGATAGTTTAAAAATCCTTCACGCCATGCTTACTTTCCTAATATGGAGATCATTGAAATCTTGGACTGCGAATAATTTTTTTTTTAATGGATTTTCCTTGGGCATTGCCATTTACTAATCTCATGATCCTGGGCAAGCCATGTAATCTCTTTAAAACTTAGTTAACTCATAGAAATAGAAATAACAATGTCCAAACTTCCTATTTTAGAGTTTTCACAAGATGCAATAGATGTAACCGAAAGCTTTGAAAAGTTTAAAGGACTTGCAAGGAAATCTACTGAAATAAGCCCCCATTCCACCTGGGACGAAGCACTCAGACGCCAAACCCCACCTTCTGTCCTGAAATTCACCTTCCACTAGGACAGTTTGCTTTTCTAATGCTTCAGATGCACAACGGGAGATGTTCTGACTTCAGGGTTTCTACTCCTCGCTGCTGTCATCTGCTGCCTGTAGGACATGCAGTCTGGCCTACACCATACAGCTTCTCATCTTCAGCTTGTGGCCCTTCCTCGTTTCCACCTTGCTATTCAGGAGGGCCCCGAAGCGTGTCTAGATTCCTTGAGCTGTAGATGCAGGACAATGAGAAGGAGGTAGTTACTTCTCTGGTCTAATTTCAGTTTCCTGACTGAGGGTACATGCCTTCCCTGAATGATCAACATCAAAAATATCCAGCCCTTCCTGGAAGACACCAGCCCTCCTTATAGATGGGTCCTTGAGCTTATGATCTCAAAAGGAAATCCTTATCAGAATACACCAGAACAAGGACATAGTTTCATCACAGAGTTATAATAATAAAAATAGTTCTTCTTTATTAAGCTGCATGAGGTACTTTGTATTGTATTAGTATTCCCGTTTCACAGATAAAAATACTACATCTTCACATAAATGGCTTGGTTAAAGCTCACAGCCAGTAATTAAGAGAGCTGGTTAGGAATCTAGTTCTGATTTCAGAGTCACTGTTTTGTTTGTCTGTTTGTTTGTTTGTTGTTTAAGACAAAGTCTCGCTCTGTTGCCCAAGCTGGAGTGCAGTGGTGGGCTCACTGCAGCCTCGACCTCCCAGACTCAAGTCATCCTCCCACTTCAGCCTCCCAAGTAGCTGGGACTACAGGTGTGCTAACCAGGATTAACCATGCCCAGCTAATTTTTTATTTTTTTGTAAAGATGGAGTCTCCCTATGTTGTCCTGACTGGCCTTGAACTCCTGACCTCAAGCAATCCTCCTACCTCAGCCTCCCAAAGTGCTGAGATTACAGGCATGAGCCACTGGGCCCAGCTGTCACTATGTTTTTCTGCTTCTTTATAAAATAAGATATCGTTAGATCCTTTTAATAACCCAAATATTTAGAGAAGAATGTTAAGGGCAAACATTCTCCACAGAATTAGTCACCTCTCTCTCTCTCTGCTTTTCTTTCTTTCTTTTTTACTGCTTCAAAATATGAACCCAAGCGTCTGGCAGAGACTCTTAGAGACTTTGAAGAAACCAGATAATGGCATGCACTTTGTCCTCGTCTGGAAAGACAACGAGTGGAACTAAACATCTGGCCAGATGCTGGCTCTTGGAAGGCAGGAGTGGAGGTGAAATTTACTCCTCCACTGTGAGCCAGTAGTGGGCTCTCGCCTTCATACTTCTCTTTCCTTCCCGCCTTTCTGCAGCTTTAGGTTTCAGGCCTCTCAGTCAAGAAGGAGAGATTTAATTGTGTTAAATTCTTGGCCCTGGACAAGATCATGTTCAGTGCCAAAGCTCGTTCAGGCTTTCCAGGGAGACCCGGCGCAGGAAGCCCAGGCGGCAAGATTTGTGGGCAGCTTGCAAGTAACACTTACGTGAAACCACAGCTCTTAAAGCATTTGGAAAAGTCACACCCTGGCCCTGTTTCTCTCACAAGCACATGTTCCTTTCTGTTTCTCTTCAGTACAGACCGTGACACAGCGAATCACGATTTAATTCATTCCTCAAACACTTCCTGTCCCAAGCAGCATTTTTCAGGCACACTTATTGCCAGGCTAAGTCTCTGTTCTTTATTCATTGAAAATAAGACCTTAAAGGTGAAGGATGGTAGCTGATCCAAAGATTCAATACGTGTTTATGATTGCTCACACAACCTCTTCCTCCTTATATGTAAAAATAGAGGAAAAGTGTAAAAATACGCTGTTAATTGATTTTGGAATGTTTTGTTAGTTCCAGCTCCAAAAATACATCTTCGAAATTAGGTTTCATTTATGTTAACATTTACATCAGGAGGTGACGCTGCATAGAAGAACAAGGAAATGGTCTTAGAAGGTAAAGCGGTCCAGGATTGAATCTCAGTCCACTACTCATTAGCCAGAGACTTTGGAAATGTTACTTCCTCTCTGTAACCTCAGTTTCCCCATCTGTAAAATGGAGATAAGAAGATGATTCACCACTTTTGTTTTTTTTTTTTTGGGACAGCCTCACTGTCACTCAGGCTAGAGTGCAGTGGTGCAATCTCAGCTCACTGAAACCTCTGCCTCCTGGGTTCAAGCAATTCTCATGCCTCAGCCTTCCAAGTAGCAGAAATTACAAGCGCATGCCACCATGCCCTGGCTGATCTCAAACTCCTGACCTCAAGTGATCCACCCAACTCAGCCTCCCACAGTGCTGAGATTACAAGTGTGAGCCACCGCGCCCAGCCTCGATTCACCATTTTGGACCTG